TTGCTAGTTCTCTGCGTACTGCCTTAGACAATGCAGCCCCTTTGAAAATGAAGAACTTTAAAAATAGAAAGCTGGCTCCCTAGTCTGGAAAGATAATTTACTGCTGTATAAGAGGACCTTTTGTAAAGCAAAAGCAGCATATTTTTCCTCATTAATAGAGGATAATAAGAACAATCCTAGATATCTTTTTATTACAGTTGCCAAACGCACCCAGAGCCATAGCTCTGTTGAACCATCTCTCCCACCTGCTCTTAACAGTAAAGATTTTATGGGATTCTTTATAAATAAGATTGATTTTACACTCCTCTAACTATGATTGGTTTTTCTCTGGAAGGTATGGCAGCATCTGAGGTAGCCATAGATTCTGAGCTGGGTTTAGACTATTTTGATCTAGTTGAACTTTCACAAAACTATTGTCTTCATTTAAGCCTTCAACTTGTATTTTAGATCTACTTCCAACCCGTTTTTTTAAGGAAGTATTCCCTTTGATCTACTCCTCCATTTTAGATGTGATTAATCAATACCTGTTAAAGGGATATGTACCAGAAGCTTTTAAGGTTGCTGTAATCACACCTTTACTTAGGAAACCATCCCCTGACCCAGATGACTTGGTCAATTATAGACCTATATCCAATCTTCCTTTCTTATCTAAAATTCTTGAGAAAGTTGTTTCCAAACAAGAGTGTGACCACTTACACCATGATTAACTTTTTGAATCTTTTCAGTCTGGCTTTAGAGCTCACCATAGCTCTGAAACAGCTCTGGTGAAACTCACTAATGATATTCTCATGCCCTCAGATAATGGACTTGTATCTGTCCTTGTCCTGTTAGATCTCAGCGCTGCCTTTGACACAGTTGATCATAATATTCTGTTAGAAAGACTTGAATATTTTGTAGGAATTAAAGGAACAGCACTAGACAGGTTTAAATCATATCTATCTGACCAATTTCAGTTTGTTCACTTTATTGACAAATCTTCCTCATGCTCCAGGGTTACCTGTGGAGTACCACAGGGATCTGTGCTATGACCAATTCTCCCTAATATATATATATATTCCACCAATGAGTAGAATTATTAGACAGTGTGCAATTAATTTCCACTGTTATGCTGATGGTACCCAGCTACAGTATATCTATCTATAAATCCAGATGAAGCTAATCCATTACATAGATTACAGACATGTCTTGAAGACAAACAAACCTGGATGACTCTTAAATTTCTGCTCCTGAATGCAGACAAAACAGAAGTTATAATCTTTGGATGAAAGTCTTTGAAAAAGAAGCTGATTAGTTAGTCGCTTCATTTGAATGGGATTAAATTGAGCTCAGACAATAAAAAAAATGGTGTTACTTTTGATCAGGACCTTTCATTTAAATCCCATATTAAATAGGTTTCTAGAATTTTCTTCTTTCATCTGCGGAACATTGCAAAACTTAATAATATCCTGTCCATGGGTAATGCTGAGAAACTAGTCCATGCATTTGCTACTTCAAGGCTGGACTATTGTTATTCTTTCCTATCAGGAAGTCCACAAACTGTAGGTAAAAGCCTTCAGCTGATCTAAAATGCTGTAGCCAGAGTTCTGATGAAAATTAAAAAGAGAGTCATATCTCTCCTCTTAGCTTCACTTCCTTTGCTTCCTGTTAAATCCAGAATACAATTTAAAATCCTCCTTCTCACATATAAAGCCTTAAATGGCCAAGCTCCATCTTACATCAGAGATCTGATTGTTCCTTATGTTCCTAACAGAGCAGTTTGCTCTCAATCTGCAGGCTTACTAGTGGTTCCTAGAATTTCTAAAAGTAGAATAGGAGGCAGATCTTTTAGTTATCAGGCTCCTCTCTTGTGGAACCAACTACCAGTTTTGGTCTGGCCAGACACCCTGTCTACTTTAAAGGGTAGGCTTAAAACTTTACTTTTGATAG